GACTACATGTATGAAAAAACTTCCAGTGAATAGTCCTAGCCATTGTGAATCAATTGAACAGAATTGTGCACAATCTGGGACCAGCTTACCAGGTTTGCCTTGTCTGGTTGGGGGTTTCCCTTTGCTAACAGCTACATCGCAACATTGTATCGATACACTTCGAATAAAGTGAGCTTATTCCATGGAAATTATGGATTTATTTCTTAGTGAAAAGAAGGAGGGGAGGAAATGCCAAATTTCATGGAAGGCACACGCATTGGCAGACAAAGACGCAAAATGCCGGTCAAATCCAAAATAATTTTTGTTAGTCTGCATTTTTGGCGGGGTTTCGATTAGAAAGTAGGCCTTCACTTTGAAAGAAAGTTGGATTAAACATTGTTGGGCAACGTTATTCGTTATTTGCCCAACATTGAAAGAAATTTGCTTTATTGTATTTTAGTTCCATGTGGTAACAAAAAATAGAACAATTATTATGCATGTGAAGAATCCCCCAACAGTTTTGAAATGCATCTACAGACGACATTGGTTATCCCTTTTTTTGAGGTGGTGGCGACACGAAATATTGGTTTGAGTGAAGAAGGACTATTCTTAAATAACCAGGGAAATACTTGAATTCAACGTTCGACTTCATCGTGAACACTTTTCGTAATGCTACACACACACACTCTCACTCACTAAGTCGGCCACAGCCGAACCCTTGCACGGATCCTCCATTCGTAACGATTCCTCATGCACGCATCTAGCTCATGACCTTTGTCTCTTCCACCCATGTGTCCCTCTTCAGTACATGATGCCTTTGGTCTGCTAGAGAAACAGCAATTCTAAATACAATTGAAAAGTAGTAATGGTATATTTTTAAGGTTATAATCGTCTTCCGCAGGGAATCGAAGAATTGAAATTAAAATTTAAAAATGACGTTTTTGTGGCAAGTTCTTTCTGTGAGCACTTTCGAAGCGTTTGTCTCAGATTCTTGAGGCGTTATATTTCAAGTTTATAACGAGTTCACGGGCGAAGCACATGTTAGCGTAATCAAATTTCTCCAACTATATAACCATTCCGTTTAAAAAACAATCTTCTCATATTTCTCAATGTAAATGCTCGTGACAACCAGTTACAATAAATGGTCTTGTGAATAAAACTCATTAATCGCTGAAAAAAAATACTGATCAATCATGGTGCTAAAAGAGGATGACGTCATAGGTACTTTTCAGTGATACAATTTAAACAGGTCAAATTTTTTTTCGTGGGAAAAATGGCTTTGGCCACACCTCCAACTTCCATTGGCCAAATAGCCCCAACAGTCCTGAATCCTCCAATTTCAATATAATTTTGCACACCCCCTAGGGAGTTAGGGTTAACCGCGACGCTGAACGCCAATGAAGCCTCACAGATGTCGAATATGCATTATTCCAAACTGGGACCAATCGAGGGTTTATAAGCGATGCCATCTCATCTTTTAGCCTCACTCTGCAACTGCAATTTGGTTTGTGACACTCAGCGGTATAGGAAGACAACCTGTAAACAGCATGGCTTTCATGCGAGCCTTGTGCTTCGTCCTGTTGGTGGGTTTTGCTGCGGCATGTCAACCCGATGCCCAAAGTGTTCACCGATATCCACAATACACTTCATTACTTAACGGTTGTATTTCATGGTGTAGACTGCTGGCCTGCTTCACGGTGAAAAGAAATCGTTTCCATAACCCACCAATGGCGGTTTTACGGGGAGCTGGGGGGGGGGGGGGGGCTTTAGCCCCCCGTACGTTCGAATGGGTCTCCCCCCCTAATTGAAAAGTCGTGAGAAGGATGCACTTGTACACTTTTAGTTAATATAGTTTGCCTGATTGTAGGATTTAGCAGAGATCCCCATTGAAAATATGGCACGAGTCTTTCCCCCTACCTGTTGATTTTTGGAGGCCTAAGTGTCCGGAGAAAATAACCGGTCTACATTTCAGCATGCCTCCCTGAAAAAATTACTGGATCCACCCTGCTAGCCCCCCCCCCCCAATAAAAATATTGGCTCTAGAACCGCGCCTGAACCCACTTCGCATCTTCGTGGCTCCAACGTTCACCAACCTGCATGCTTTTAAGTTAACCATTTAGTATTTAGAATATATGGATGAAGGTCATAGCATCGGTGAACTAATCAGCTGTTGTACTTTAAGCCCCCGTCACACTATTGCGTATCCCAATTCCTTATGAGTTCCTTATCAATTTTTTTCAATACGCAGCCGTACGATCAAAAACGTCGAAATTTTTTGATTACTTTGACTTATGTGCGACGCACATCTAGCGAACAAGTAACGAATTCAGCGCATCCACTGCGTATAAGATGCGTATGAGTTGCGTATGCAGTGCGCAAGTTCGCTATCTGTGCGTTTCTCATAAGTTACGAATAAGTACAATGCGCTGCCCGCTCGCAGGACGAGCGGTTCTTATTCGTTCAATACGTCGGCATTCGCTATGAGTTCGTTCAGCGTGCGTTGTATCTGCGCTGCAAGTACGCTATGTATACGTCCAATATAGGAGGTCAGGGTATCACCGCGTATGAACGGCTTATCCCCCATGAACACATAGCGTACTCGTACCGCGCTCGACCGATGCGGGACCGATGCGCTGCGTATTTATAACTTATGACCTGCGTAACAGCGTACGCAGCGTAGTTTTGTGCATGCCCAAAACTATCCAGCGTACTAGGCCGTACCATGTGTATGCCTGCGTACATAAAACTTACACAAAACGATAGAGATGCATATGAGGTGCGTAATGTGCGTACGACTGCGTATGGAAAAAATGTCAATGCGCAACTCATAAGGAATTAGGAAACGCAGAAGTGTGACAGGGCCCTTAGCCGCACTGTATAACACAATGACATTATCTCCAAAAACTACATAATGAACGAACTGGAATGTGTCTCACAACTGCAACTAACAAAGAAACATTCAATTCAAAATCTGATTCCTCACGCTACAAACTCCTAGCTTGAAACTTTAAATTCATGTCCTCTTGAATTCTTCTCAAGAAACTTAATTTGTTTTTGCAATTTAAATTCAACTTTTTGGTAATATTAACATGTTGGTGGAGGGATTTTCTTAATTAATTTGCCGTCTGAGTAAACAAAATAAGAAACGTATGTGCTCAGAATGTGATGGACTTATTAACACATTTATTGCTTTCGTTTTAAGAGCACAACCCTGACAACAAAGTTTACTAGATTCAGAAAGCACCAGATAAACTAATTTCATTTTTGGATATTTCACAATGAAGTGTATCAGCATAATATGTCAGTCTTCTGTGTTGAACGTTAGCCTAACAAATTACTGAGATGATGACAGAAAATGTGGAAGTGATTTTGTTAAGATTTGAAATTAAGTACGTGTAAACATGTTACTGTCAGCATTATCCTGGATGGGAGTCTCTCAACATGTTTATCTTCATTTGTTTATTTTACTTCTTTTTGTATTCTTTATTTATAGTTGTTTATTTCTATTGTTTATTTTTTATGTTTTTGCTATTATCTTGCATGTTTGATCTTATTTTTTAAGTTACATTAATTATCGCAGAGTAAAAATGTCGCATGAACAACTGTGTAGCGTGGAGTGTATTTTTGTTCAACTATGACTATCGCGAATATCATTACACGGGCAATATTTATCAATACGTGTCTCATGCAGCATTCAACTAGCTTTAGAATTGACATCTTTCTTTGAAGATTGTAACGCAATTCTGCTGCCTTGTTTGCATAAACCCTTCACTCTCAAGTGGTCATTGACGCTTTCCACGCAAATGTACTTGTGGAATATAACTAGGTTTAATCTGAAATTAACCACAGATCAAATAACAATTTGTAAGTTTGTTTTCATGACAATAAACAATACACATACATAACATAACCATGTGAGGAGTAAATTATTCAGTTAATTTAGTGTCGAACAAATATAATAACAAAATCAGGAATGTGACAGCATTACAAATCCCCATGTGTTATTCCCCCCAAACATGTCTGCCCCTCAGAGTCCCAATCCTAACAATGATTGCATGCAAAAAAGTCATGAAACCAAAGACTCACGACTTTGTTGAGCACAGGTCAACTACAGCAAACTAGCAGAAAAGACGTCAGGTCAAACTGCCTTGAATGTCGCTTTCTTAGTTATTAATTTAAACACAGAAGTTGGACAGATTATCTTTCCCAAAATCGTTGATGCAGAAAGCCCACATGAAACAATGCACACTAGCGTATGTCTTGACTCTACAGCATGAAACTATTGCATCATGCACAACATAAACCAGACTAAGACCTCGTGGGTGACGCAGAGATTATTGACCTCCACGGAAGACATTTCGGTGCAACATGGTAAAATGTATGTCTAAATAATCCTTACGGAAAGCATGTGTTACATTCCGGCCCCTTAAATGTAAGAGTAATCAACGAACATTTACAATCACAACAAGTAACCAAGCTTAACAGTAAACCTTATAAAACGATTAAACTTTAAACTGGAACCTATAACTAAGAACTTGGTCCAATTGGGTAAGGAGATGCTTCTAGTCTTTAACACCTTCTAACAGACACAGTTTGGTGATTGGCCTGACATGATTTCCAGTGGCTGTCCGTACTTCCACACTCCTAACCAGACCATCGGCTCCAGGGAAGGTCTTCAAAATCCTCGCTAGAGGCCACTGACTCCTGGGCAAATTGTCATCCTTGACCAACACCAGGTCACCAGCCTTAAAATTGGCTTGTGGCTCAAGCCAACGTTGTCTGCGTTGAAGCGTGGGAAGATACTCTGCAGTCCAACGCTTCCAGAACCTTTCAACCAGCAACTGTACGTGTTTCCATCGCTTCCCATACTGGTCAGTTGCTTTCAAGTCACGGAGTGGAACTGGATGCCCATGTCCAAGCTTCAACAGATGATTGGGAGTAAGGGTTCGAGATCTTTCGGATCGTCGGAGACGTGTTGCCTTATAACTAAGAACTTGGTCCAATTGGGTAAGGAGATGCTTCTAGTCTTTAACACCTTCTAACAGACACAGTTTGGTGATTGGCCTGACATGATTTCCAGTGGCTGTCCGTACTTCCACACTCCTAACCAGACCATCGGCTCCAGGGAAGGTCTTCAAAATCCTCGCTAGAGGCCACTGACTCCTGGGCAAATTGTCATCCTTGACCAACACCAGGTCACCAGCCTTAAAATTGGCTTGTGGCTCAAGCCAACGTTGTCTGCGTTGAAGCGTGGGAAGATACTCTGCAGTCCAACGCTTCCAGAACCTTTCAACCAGCAACTGTACGTGTTTCCATCGCTTCCCATACTGGTCAGTTGCTTTCAAGTCACGGAGTGGAACTGGATGCCCATGTCCAAGCTTCAACAGATGATTGGGAGTAAGGGGTTCGAGATCTTTCGGATCGTCGGAGACTGCTGTGATGGGTCGGTCATTTACGATAGACTCCACTTCGCAGAACAATGTGTCGAGTCTCTCGTCATCAAGCACTTCATCACGCAGAAGTGAACTGAGAACTTTCCGGCAGGTACGAATCTGGCGCTCCCAAACGCCTCCCATGTGGGAGGCCACTGGTGGGTTAAACTGCCATTCGATCTTTCTGCTGAGAAAGAAACCCTCCGTCTGTTTGCTTTCCTGTATACGCTCGATAGCTGCCCTTAGCTCCCTTTCTGCTCCAACAAAGTTAGTCCCGTTGTCGGAATAGATTTTCTCCGGGGTTCCTCGCCTTGCCGCAAACCTTAGGAAGGCATTGAGGAACGAATCAGTTTCTAGAGAGTGTAGCTTCTCCAGGTGGACTGCTCTGATTCGCATACAGGTGAAAATACAGCCATATCGCTTTTCCCTGCTCCTCCCTCGTTTGACATGAAACGGTCCGAAACAATCAACCCCAACGTGGGTGAACGGTGGTTTGCCTGGAGTCACTCTGTGGGCAGGTAGGTCGGCCATGCGTTGAACGCCAGGCAGTCCCCGAAGTTTTCTACAGAGCACGCACTCCTTCAAAATGCGGTTGATCAAAGGTCGCACCTTGGGAACCCAATATTGTCGTCTTATCACAGAGAGCACATGCTCTTTGCCCGAATGGCCAGATATCAATTCATGTGCATGACGAACTATCAAAGTGGCCAGATGACTATCACGAGGTAGTATCACTGGATGCTTGCAAGTGGGCCCGACTGGAGAGTGTCGCAGTCTACCACCAAGCCTCAATACCCCATGGTCATCTACGCATGGTTCGAGACTATACACGTGACTCTGTCTCTGCACGGAAGTCTTTCCCGCCAACAAATCACGGAACTCCTTCTTGTAGTGCCTTCTCTGAACGCTCCTGATTATGGCCAGCTCCGCATCTTGCAGTTCACCCACAGTCAACCTCTGGTTTCCCTTATCTCCATTATCCAGGTTCCTGGGCCTATGGAGTCGCAGCCACTTTATGAAGCGGAGCACCCATGCGACCGCCCTTTTGAGTCGATACAAAGACGAGTATCTGCTGATCAACCTGTGAATGGGGTCATCCTGATCAACGACATCTATGGCTCGGGACAGTGCTACCTTTCTCACTTCCTTGTCCTTTTCCTGCAGACTAGGAATTTGTGGAGTCACAGGCCAACTGTCCTCAGTCTGCCACAAGAAATCAGGACCCTTTCTCCATCTTATCTTGTCAAGCATACTCTGGGCATCGAGCCCCCTAGATGCATCGTCAGCAGGATTCTGCTGTGTATTGACATATCTCCACTGACTGGCGGTAGATCCATCATGAATTGTGGCAACTCTGTTTGCAACAAACGTTTGGAGACGCTTTGATTGGTTACTTATGTACTGGAGTACCACCGTACTGTCTGTCCAGAACGTTGACCCTTTCACCTGAACCCTTAGTTCTCTTCTGAGCATCTGGTCCATATTCACTGCAATAACAGCAGCAGACAGCTCTAGTCTAGGGATAGTCATGGTCTTCAACGGAGCGAGTCGTGATTTGCCAATCAGAAAGCTGCAGTGAACATCACCATCAGTGTTGACAAAGCGGGCAAAAGAAACAGAGCCATAGGCATCTTGTGAAGCGTCAGCCAAATGATGCAAACGACATTCCTCAACAATTCCAAAATCACCAGGAATCAGACACCTATCAACAGAAAACTGCTCCAGCTTGGGAAGATCATCCAGCCACCTGGTCCACTGATCTTGCGTACTGACTTCCAATGGCTCATCCCAGCCCTTCCCAACTATTCTACACTCATTTTGGAACAGGAGCTTGGCTAACAGAACAAATGGACACACGAACCCAAGAGGATCGTAAACGGAGCTCAGAATGCTTAACAGACCTCTCTTAGTGTGACATCCTCGCCTTGACTTTATCTTGACTCCAATCTGATCACTTTCGGTATCCCAACGTACTCCCAAGGCCCTTTCCACAGGAAGACGTTCATGATCAAGGTCCAAGTCGGTGACTGTCTTGGCTCTTTCAGCCGTCGGTACGGAATCCATGACATTTCTGCTACTGCAGATCCACTTAGTCAAGTGGAAGCCACCTTTAGCTAGAAGGTGCGTCAGCTGCTTCACCATGAATGCTGCATCATCCTCCGACTTGAAGGATTTAAGAAGATCATCAACGTAGAAGTTCTCTTTTACCGCCTGGACTGCATCACTGCTGAACATATCCTCGTTGTCATCTGCCGTTCGCCGAAGAGCAAATGCAGCGCAACTCGGACTCCATACCCCTCCGAAAAGGTGGACCGTCATACGAAACATTTCAGGAGGTCGAGTAGCATCCCCTTCAGGCCACCATAGGAATCGTAACACATCTCTGTGTTCCTTGGAGACTCCAACCTGATGAAACATCTGCTCGATGTCTCCCATCAATCCAACTTTGTGCTCTCGGAAACGGGTAAGGACTCCAACTAACTTGTTCATCATGTCCGGCCCCTGTAATACTCTGTCATTTAACGAAGTACCACAGCATCTGGCAGCGCAATCGAACACAACTCTAAGCTTTTCAGGCTTGTTGGGGTTCAGATGCAGTGATGAGGTAAGTACCAAGTTCGTCCCGTTGATGATGCCAGCTCGTGCTCAGGCACTTTCTCAGCAAACCCTCTGCTCAACAGATTTTGTATCTCTGCACAGTATCTTGAGTGCAAACCGGGGTCCTTGGTAAACCGCTTGGCAAGGGATTGCAAGCGCCTTTCTGCGACAATCCTGTTCTCAGGCAAATCTGGAGTGTCCGACTTGAATGGTATGTCTAACTGGTAGTGGCCATCGACAAGACTGAGTCATTCCATGTCTTGACTGCCTTCTTGTCATCAAGTGACATGGTTCTGTCATCTGATAGGTCCGCAGTATCGAGCTTCCAAAATCGCTCAACCTGAGCTTCAAGGCCGCCTTGAACAAAGTTTGACACTGCTGCTGCTGGACTCCCACTGGCTAACGGTCCATTCACCGTCCATCCAAGGCAGGTTCTGACTGCGTAGGGTTCGCCTTCCGCACCACGCCTCACCTCTAACGGAACCAGGGCCTGTGGGACATCTTGTCCAATGAGAATCGCTACACCATCTTTAGCCACGCATGGAACAGAAATGTCTCTCAAGTGTTCAAACTTCTTCACATCTTCAAAGGTAGCGCAGGAATCTCGCAGAGTGGGAAACTCTTTCAGAGCGTGAATCTCTGGTATGCAGAAAGACTTTCTGGTATGGGCCTTGCCGACAGTTCCAGACACGTCCAACGAAAGCACGACTGTTTGAACCTGTGCATTCTCGTTCAACGTGTCCAGAGACAAAGACTGTGGGGTGCCCTTTACACCCAGCATTTTCACTAACTCCATTGTGCAGAACGACCTGTTGCTCCCGGGATCAAGAAGAGCATTTGTCTTGAGCCACTCCCCACTACCCGCACCTCTCACCATCACGGCGACAACTGGTAGGGCTATCTTAGAGTGTTCTTGACTGGACCCACAAGCGAGACTTGTTGCTCCGACTTTCTGATCATCAGGCGATTCTTTAGGAGCACCTCCATCTTCAGAATTCGCCCTCTGGAATACACCATGTAGCAGCCTCGAGTGTTTTCCTCTACATCCTTGGAAACCGCAGGGAGCTGCTTTACACTGCCTTGAAAAATGCCTACTGGAGAGACAGTTGAAACACAGCTTGTTTTCACTCGCCACTTTGACTCGGTCAGTAGGAGACATCTTACCAAAGTTGTCGCATGCCGCGAGTGCATGTTCCCCAGAGCACAATGGACAAGCTGTCCTTTTCACCAATTCGTTCTTGCCACATTGACGCTTGGGCGAGTCAGTCCCAACCCGAGACCTGTGGTCGACCTCACTGGTGGCTTGGATATTGTAGTTGGATCCCTTCTTCTTGGGTGATTTCTCATCGCTGTGCCGGTTCTCCAAACCGTAAACGGGATCATTTGCCTCTCGAGCTACTTTGCTGATAAACTTGACAAGTTCTGCAACATCGGGGTAGTGGCCAGTCTTGTCCAGAATGCCCACAGCTTTCGAACGCCATTTACCCTGCACGAATTGTGGCAGTCTCTTTACGATGAGGCTAAGGCTCCTTTTAGTGTCAACTTCTCCAAGCTTTTTCATCGCTGTCAGAGTGAGTGTGCAACTCCGAAGATCGTCAGCTAACTTCTGGATACCTCTGCAATCCCCTGGCAGGATGCGCGGGCCCTCTGTAAGTTTACTGACCCAAGTTTCCGAAATCCTGTAATCGTTACCAAAGCGTTCACGCAGCAATGCCCGTGCCCTTGTGTAGCCCTCATCCGGCTGCATGACAGCACAGCATCTGATAACTGCCAGCGCCTCTCCGCAACAATACTGGAACAGGCGATTTAGCTTGGCGCTGGCCCCAACGCTGGTGTTGCCAACAGCTGCATCAAAGCTAGAGATGAAGATCCAGTATTCAAGAGGGTCCCCATTGAACTTGACCAGCTCACACTTCGGCAAGAGCAGCGTGTCAATCATCTCACGTTGCAAAGGAATCGCTGCCATGGGCGATGATGGCTGCACTGGGGCAGATGGCTGCGGGTTACCAGTTAACCACTGATCCACCTTCTCTGCAGCCGTCGACCCAACTAAGCTTGGCTTAGGCTCGTCTTCATGTGAAGATTGTTCAATGTCTCCCAGAGCCCTTTGCTCTGCCTCTGCCTTGGCAATTTCCAGCTGGAGTTCGCAGTCTCGCTTACGCTGAACAAGTCTAAACTCTTCCTCTTCAATGGCTTTCAACGCTATCCTGCTTGCGGCTTCTGCCTGAAGACCTGCTAAAGTAGCAGCTGCCTTGAGCCTAGCACTACTAATTGAACTGGAAGTACCAGCCTTGCTGGATCTACTGGCATTTGAAACTGACATTGTGAACTATCAAATTACAGCAGTGAAAAATGGAATAGCAGTACGTTATGATCAATACCAATATTATATAAATCAGAAAAGTTTTACCAACCAGTCAATCATTAAATCAACACAAGTATGTGAAGAAAATGTAAATTATGTGAAATACCAAACACTACAAGTAATTAGCAAGATAATTACACAACAATCAAGCAATAAATCAAACACACGTGCAGTTCAAAGTATACAGTTCGATGAACTTGGGATATCCTCGAACACGGTCAGATGCTCGTCCAAAGTTCAAAGGTCACTGATCACATTTCGATGAACTTGGGATATCCTCGAACACGGCATCAGGTGCTCGTCCAAAACTCAAAGGTCACAGGTCACGGTTCGATGAACTTGGGATATCCTCGAAACACAGAATCAGGTGCTCGTCCAAAGCTCAAAGGTCACAGGTCACGGTTCGATGAACTTGGGATATCCTTGAAACACAGAATCAGGTGCTTGTCCAAAGCTCAAAGGTCACAGGTCACAGTTCGATGAACTTGGAATATCCTCGAAACACAGAATCAGGTGCTCGTCCAAAGTTCAAAGGTTACAGTACATGTACAGGTATACGAACTTGGCCGCAATCAAATTGTCCAAGATGATTCACGATTCAAATCTTGTCCCCTTCTGGACCACGAGGAAATACCCGATGATTACGGCTCTCACCATGTAGGGCGCAAGTTGGGTCAGTCAACTGCATACACTCAACATCAGGTGCAATACACACAACCCCTGGACTGGACTGTGAACATCATGGGTGGTTGTCAGGTAAGTACTGGTGGCGGGCAGCCGTCTCAATTTGGTCGCCAACGTTGACTGGACGCCATAACTCCAATAACTTGGAGAGTGACTCAAAGTCATTAAACTGTAACGCAATTCTGCTGCCTTGTTTGCATAAACCCTTCACTCTCAAGTGGTCATTGACGCTTTCCACGCAAATGTACTTGTGGAATATAACTAGGTTTAATCTGAAATTAACCACAGATCAAATAACAATTTGTAAGTTTGTTTTTATGACAATAAACAATACACATACATAACATAACCATGTGAGGAGTAAATTATTCAGTTAATTTAGTGTCGAACAAATATAATAACAAAATCAGGAATGTGACAGCATTACAAATCCCCATGTGTTATTCCCCCCAAACATGTCTGCCCCTCAGAGTCCCAATCCTAACAATGATTGCATACAAATAGTCATGAAACCAAAGACTCACGACTTTGTTGAGCACAGGTCAACTACAGCAAACTAGCAGAAAAGACGTCAGGTCAAACTGCCTTGAATGTCGCTTTCTTAGTTATTAATTTAAACACAGAAGTTGGACAGATTATCTTTCCCAAAATCGTTGATGCAGAAAGCCCACATGAAACAATGCACACTAGCGTATGTCTTGACTCTACAGCATGAAACTATTGCATCATGCACAACATAAACCAGACTAAGACCTCGTGGGTGACGCAGAGATTATTGACCTCCACGGAAGACATTTCGGTGCAACATGGTAAAATCTATGTCTAAATAATCCTTACGGAAAGCATGTGTTACAAAGATGATACGAGACTCATAAGGTAAACAAACAGATAGCCTCACAGTAGTAGTCCACAACCAGTCGTCTAGTAAATCCACAAGTGTCACGATTTTTCTCTGCTAAAATGTTCTTCTTTCCCGCCTCACCCCTGACGCTATCTCGTTTATAACCCCTGGGACATTTACTAGTTTTCTTTGCTCTGATTGCCTACTCCAAAAGGTGACTGAAAATTTGTAATGAGTTGTTAAAAGTCAATGGTATGCTCAGTCTTGCGTTTGTGATGTTTGCAAATTTCTGGTGGGTATACATGGTATAAGTGATGACCAAACAATGGCCGTTGCAGAACACTGAGGTAAATCCCTGTGCTTTATCCCACTATTTACGTCACTCCAACAAGTACTCTACTGAATTGAATTATGTGATTATCGCACGCATCTGTAGCACACCTCTTGCTAGCGCCCTCACTAGTTCAGATTTCGAGCTGTTCACATGTTATATATCTTTTCACACTCTAACGTACTTGACTCACCCGTACCGTATTTGAAGCTTAAGGAATATATCACGTGAAATGTAGAGAGCGCTCTCTCGCGTTTACAAAATAGCGCCCATGCTGATATCCTGAAGGTTATTTACTTCCCAGGGGCAGAAGCCCCAACTGATCGCTCGGCGTACTGACTAGACAACAAGCGTATTTATATTCTTATTTCATTCATTTGTTTTTTCGGCAAACGACTGAGGGCGCCTTCTTCGGCTCACTCGTACCAAACGTCGTTCTCAGGGTCTATTTCTCATTGGACCCTGGAGAAATTACTCCTTACTGTGGGATTTGCAATTTAAACACATTCGCTGAGTGCGAAGGTGAGTCAGTTCATATTTTTATGATGTTTTTAAAAGTGTCACCGCTATGATTTTAGTCCTGAAGTAAAGAAAGTTGTGAGAAATTTTCATTTCAGATACCTTTGCTTTTAATTAGTTAAAAAGTAATCTTTAGGCTTAAGTTGGTGTAATCTTTAGGCCCGCAACTTGATTTGGATTATTTACTGTCTACGTGCAGTTGGTAAATAGCTCGAGCTGGTGAGCACAGCCAAACGACATTAACGGTAGAGGACGCTATCGATGACGAGACGAACCGAAATCCAGGCTTTGCGATTCGGGCAGGCCTCCCCGGAAATTTCCGAGCATATCCCACGCGCGCATTAGCATAAATAATAGAGCATTCGCATAGACGCAAAACCCTCGCTGTGCAGACTGGTGCCTTTAAATGTTTATTTGAAGAAAGGTTGTTGGACGTGATTTGTACCGGTGACTGTCAACGCCGCGCGGAGCCGGCCTCGCGCTGAGCTGAGCTGGGAACCGGCCGTGCAGCGGGGGGCGATGTGGATGAACGCCAATCATGATACGGCCGCGCCGGTGACGGGCGAGCATTTTCGCCGCAAACACGGCGACTACGGCAAGCTCACAAAATGGTTGACGGTGTTGAATTTGTAGTTGCAGGTGCAAAAGCATTGCCTCCAGTCAAAAAGTGGGTAATATACCCCCATTCTCCCCCCCCCCCCGGATTAACGTCCCTGCTAATAACAAACTCCAATATAAATCAATCAGTCTGAAAACTAAAGTTGAAGTGTAATTTGATAATTCTTTTTTTTTTCAATTAATATCTTTTTCTTTCTCTAAAACTTAATTACGATTTCTTATACTTAAAAATGGCTTGAGAAAAGGACATATTTTGAACAGTATTATTTCGATACATTTTTGTGTGACTGCTACTTTTCAGTTATATTCAAGCAATACTTTTCGTAAATTCGGGGAAAACAATTAATTTACTTCCAAGGCCAACGTCGACTAAAATAGCTGTCATTTTCTCTATTGGTATTTGCATACACAAAATCCAATTATTGCCTAGAAACTCGATAAAGACAAACATCTGTCAACCCAATTGAGAAACTGTATAATGTTTCACATAAATATAATACTTCACTAGAATTAGGTTTTCGTTGATTAGCACGGAAAAATAACTCGGCAACAACATGTTTAGTCCTACCGGTTTAATATGCCATTTTGAATTGAAAATCTTTCTTTTTGGAACTTGCGACGAGAAATGAAAGCAATGACATAAAGTATGTTGCAAATTAATAACAGTCTGGTCTGATGAATAATTTAATTGTTGTGATTAACCTTACCCCAATGTTTTAAGCAACATTTTACAAAGAATAAAAGTGAGGATAGAATGTTTAATTAGTCTGGCACTATCCCATTCAATAGTTACCAATTTAAAAAACACATACAGGGAACACGACAAAATGGCTTATTCGCGAATAAGGTCCATGATACCTTATATGGACTCTGCCTCTAACACGTGACCTTGTATGGTTTCTTATTGGTTACATTCCAGTAGCTTACACCTGTTAGTAAAATCTTACACGAGAGCGTTCGAGTAGTCATCACGTGATCATCGTGTCTGCCCGGTGTGAACCAGTGACCACTGCCTCAGCGCGCGAGCGGATCTCTGGTGGCGTCTTTAAAACATTTAAAACTTTCGATGCTTTTTCCTGACAACTGAGGGCGATGTTGCTGTGATGACATTTCAGGAAGAGATTGTCAGATTAGGGGTTTCTCAGTTCAAATTGTGAACCAAAAAAAACCTGCTCATTGAAAACATCTGTGAAAAAGGTTGGCTCATTGGCTTACTGCCGTGTACTGACACAGCAGTGAATCCGCAAAGAAAATTTACAACAGCAAGAGACAAAAGTTCTGGTGCTCAAATTTGTTTTTTTGTGCTTAAAAAGCGGTAACATTCAGGTTTCTTCCCAGAATGACATCACAGTTTTGCTAATGAATGTGGATAAATGCATTAGCAAAGAAACAAAAACACCAAATACCCTGGAAATGGCAACACGAAAATTGAAAAAAAGGTACAGTGGGACAAGAAGGAGAATTTTCAAGGATTGCATCAAAAAATGACATTGAATGGGCCCTTTAAGCACGGAATGAAAACCCGTGTCATTTGAAAGTGTGAGTCCTACGAAATGTGACCTATTTTACATTATGGACTCAGCCTCTCACACGTGACTTGTCACAGATGTTATTTTGCTCACACAGTGTTCACAACATAGACATGCGCAATACAAACAATGAGTCCTCATTTCATAGAGTTCAAATTTATTATCACACCGGCCAAAGGCCAAATGTCACGGAATGTTGCCATTGACTGTACGCTTGCTTTTAACCCTAAAACTTAGGGCCGGGTTATTTTGACCATCTCTCAGCCGCAGATCTCGGCCATCGAGTTGTGTATTTTGAAACTCGGTACATGCATAGAGCAACTCATCATAAACATACCCAAGAAATTTCATGACTATAGGTCAAAGGGTTTAGGAATTATGGTTAATTTATTCATATGTACGAATGGTAATTCTGCTCTGTGTGCACGACATGCCG